GCGAGGAGCGTGCCGTACGCAGAGGCCGCAGCATGCAAGCCGGCGCCCCTGGCGCGCAACAGCCATTAAGGTCGAATCGTAACGTTTCCGCGCGACAAGGATCCGGCCTGCGGACCGGTCGCCATGACGTACGCCGCGGACCGTGCTCGCGCGCGTCTGTCGACAGAGAGCGAATCGGACGCCTTCGAAGGAATATCTCGCGTCGGCCCGCTCAAACACTCCGAAGCGCAGAGGGCTGCCTGGCATCGCGTCGCCGACTACGGCGCTGGAGACGCCTCCTGGTGGCGGGGAGGTGAAGCGTCGTCGTCGTCTGCCTTGCTCGCAGACTGCCAGCGCGGTGGCAAGTCGCCTCGTCTGTCCTCCTCGGGAGCGGACGCGTCTCCGCGCAGATGCTGCCACGACGTGGCGCCATCTATTGTGGTGACTGAACAGCAGCATCTGCGAGCTGCGGTGTGAGAGCGTGATCTGAGCAAGGCGTGAGAGAGCGTGGCGGGACGAGGGGAAGCTGAGATGCTGCTGTGAGCTGCGGCGGACAAGCCGGGAAGCCTGAGATGCTGCTGTTGAGCGTCGCGGGACGAGCGGAAAAGCTTGAGGATGCTGCTGTGAGCTGCGGCGACAAGGGGAAGCTGAGGTGCTGCTGTGCAGCTGGGGACGAGTAGGACAGCTGAGGATGCTTGACCTGTGAGCTGTGCGGGCGAGCGGAGCTGAGGATGCTTGCTGTTGAGCTGCGGTGAGAGCGTTGATCCTGAGCAAGCTAGCGTGCGCGCGACGAGCTGAAGCTGCTAAGGATGCTGCTGTGAGCTGCGGGACGAGGGGAAGCTGAGGATGCTGCTGTGAGCTGCGGGACGAGGGGAAGCTAAGGATGCTGCTGTGAGCTGCGGGACGAGGGGAAGCTGAGGATGCTGCTGTGAGCGTGCGGGACGAGGGGAAGCTGAGGATGCTGCTGTGAGCTGCGGGAGAGCGTGATCCTGAGCAAGGTGGAGAGCGTGCGGGAGAGCGGATGCTGAGGATGCTGCTGTGAGCTGCGGGACGAGCTGAAGCTGAGGATGCTGCTGTGAGCTGCGGGAGAGCGTGATCCTGAGCAAGGCGGAGAGCGTGCGGGACGAGCGGAAGCTGAGGATGCTGCTGTGAGCTGCGGGACGAGCGGAAGCTGAGGATGCTGCTGTGAGCTGCGGGAGAGCGTGATCCTGAGCAAGGCGGAGAGCGTGCGGGACGAGCTGAAGCTGAGGATGCTGCTGTGAACACCGCACGCACGCACGCACGCACGCACGCACGCACGCACGCACGCACGCACGCACACGCACGCATATAAGCACGCACGCACACATATAAGCACGCATGCACGCACGCACGCTGATGCTTACTCATGTCTGTTAAACAATGGGGAAGTACGTGTTGAAAGAATGTTTATATGCTGTACATGTAGTTTAATAATGTGACGCTCCCTGTTCGAGAAGAAAAGGAATTGAACTTGTATTCGGGTTAAAATGTGTAAATAAGAATTTATTGAGTGAATAATCTACTGTATTCATGAAGAATGGTAAAATTTCATGACATTTAACTTGACCTTTTTAATTTTTGTCGATTTCAAGAAAACCATATTAATCTCAAAATCTACAAAAAATGCAGTAACAATTTTAATGTTTTTTTTTAGTACTAACATATTGCAACTAGTTCCTTTAGAATGTAATTTACACTGTATTGACGTTTCTTACAAGAAAATATACTATTATTATGTTATAACCTTCAAATGTTTAGTTTGTCTGCAACTTAAAGCACGAATAAACAATATCGATCCAATGTAGATTTTAAGCTTCATATAAGATTAAAATCCCCGATGATATGAAATAAAAATGAATGTGACATTTGCTCATCAGTTGACATTTTAGAGCTTACCAGTTATATCTACGTTTAGTAGTGACCTTCACTATTAGAGCTATAAAGTTCACATATAGTCAGTACACAAGTTTTTTAAAACATTTTTATGGCTAGAAACATTGCAGCTGGTTCCTTTAGTATGTAATTTACACTGTATTGATGTTATACAAGAACGTATACTCGTGTTGTCATATAACAACTCTCAAACGTTTATTTTATCCGGAATTTATAGTACGAATAACCAAAATTAATTCAATCTAGACCTTTACAAGGGGTTCTAAACCGATCACGAAAAAATGTACTTGTAGGCATTTCAAGAGAATGATAAATGTAAGGTTAAAATCCCCGACGATATGATCAAAAATCAATGTGATATTTGCACATCACTTGACATTCAGAGCTTAATTAGTACAATTAGCAGTAGTGACTTTACTTCATTATAAAGCTGTATGTGGTTCAAACATGGCTCCCACAAAAGTGTGAATTATTTTTCAAGGACGTGTTTTTTTTAAGGACAATCTGTGACAAGTAGATTGAGCTTTTTAGAGTCATCATATATATCTTAGATTCATATATAAAGTTGTTTGTTCATAAAATAAAGTCATATAAAAAATGTTTGTTTTACACGAGTGCCGACAGCACATTAAACAGCCGATATAGCTCGCCGATTACCGACGTACACAATAGTCGTTTCATATTGTCATTCACGTAGATTCATGTTACGGTCCTGTGACAATATGTAAAGCGTTGATGTAACATGTATCACTCAGAACTATGTATTACACAATTTACTCTATCACTCAGAATATTTATTATTTTAACTGCTCAACACTACTGCATTTATCAGATTTTTTCTCCATGAAAAAGACCGTCTTCAGTACATGTATTTGTATTTTAATTACATACAATAAAGATATAATAATAATAATAATAATAATAATAAACAGTTGCCGGTTCTTTATTCTGACCTTTCATCTTCTGTGTCAGGCAGTAACCTTAACAGTGAATAAAAGTAATCACTTATTCCTTACTCCCCTCTCGCGGATGGTATCGCCCACGACCAGTCAAGCATGGAAAAACTTTTGCAGGTAAATGGCCGTATTTCAGCCGAAACTTTTTCACTCCCCGATGCACAAAATGTGAATTTACGCATATAATACACGCGCACGCGT